GATTCATTACCCTAATTTCATAAACCTGTATGGGTAAATAGTCTATGAACTGAGCATCAAAAGTTTTTATATTGTCATTTAATCACAATGACTAATTCAACATATATGGTAAGTTTATTAAGTTTTGCAATAACTGTCTTAAAAAGTCACACATATCATGATTCTACTGATTAAAAGAAAACAAGTTTTTACCCTGACCTGTATAGAAATCAAACAGACTATATTGTCATGCACTTCCCCCAACCAATGTGAAACATATCTCTCTCTCTCTCTCTCTCTCTCTCTCTCTCTCTATATATATATATATATATATATATATATATATATATATATATATATATATATATATATATATATATATATATATATATATATATATATATATATATATATATATATATATATATATATATATATATATATATATATATATATATATATATATATAAACAAAGACAAATGAAGATGATGAAACTGACCTGTGTTCCTCTTCTGTCCAAGGGACCCCTTTCTTCCTCTCCTGATCAGAACTCCTGACAGTTGCTGGCTTCTTTCTGCATGCATCATAAAATTGGTTGTCAACCATCTCCAATGAGAAAGAAGAAGTAGGGTATCCAGGAACTGGAATCCTCCCTGCTTCTATTTCACTAACATCTTCCTCCAATTCTCTGTACTGTTTGATCACATCATAGACAGTTTTTCCCGGTAGCATGGCTGCAACCCTCAGCCATCTGTCTGGGGTATCCTTATCATATATGGCAAGGGCACTTTCAAACTTCTTATTCTCTTCTCTAGTCCATTCTGTGTAGTGACTCTCTTGAACAAACCAATTTGAATTTGACATAAAACAAGTTGGATATGGGGTCTCGAATTCCATACCCTACAACAAAATTCCCCTACACTCGAGATGGCAACGAGAAACTAGAAAGAAATGCGCAACAACAAAGAACTTATGCAACTTTGATTCAAGGGGCATGATATTTAGAATCCTTCAAGTGAAATCAAGAATCTACTTCCAGCGAGAGCATAAACTAAGGAATCAACAAAAGTTGAACATCTACCCTTTAGAATCATCTTGGAAAAATAATGACGTACCCGGAAGTAAGACCTTAGTAGAATGATAGCAGAAATAAATGTTAAATCCAACAGCAAGTAGATGAAGAAAGTGAACAGTGAAATCCCAAAATAGAAAAGAGAGGTTCTTTACAATCACGAAAGGACAACCAAGAAGAAGGTGTGTTTCCTTTTGTTATTTCTTCCCGGTGAAGCAACTGTGAAAGCAAATGCAGATGACACTAACGAAGTGTAAAGCTGGAACTGAGAGAGAACAGAAATAGAGGTTGGTGAATTTCAAAGGATTGCATTTGGATTTGTTGGTAACTCTGGTTGTGTTGTGTTCAAAAGAGAGGAGAATCAGGAATTGGAGTGACAGAGAAATGGTTTGGGAAAAATGTAAACCACTTGCTAGCAGTTAGAACTGGTGACAAAATTCTCTTTTATAAGCATCCAATTAATAGATTTTCAAAGAAAAAAGAAAGAGAAAAATTTGAAGGGAAGAGGAATTACTTCCGTAGCTACATTTATTTTATTTTCAAAATGAGAAATAAAATAAATTTTAGAATTATAATAAAGTCATTATTTATTTTTCTCTCTTCGTTCCATATAATAAATATATTTAAAGATTAAAAGATACTAATAATTGATAAAAAAAATAACTAATGTAATATTAAACTTAAAAAAATAATTAATAATAAATAACTAATCCATAAATCTTATACTTAAAAAGGAAAAGAAGAATTTTCTTTCTATTTGTTCATAATTTCATAATATCAAACATTACCTCAAATGTCAGTCAGTTAAAGAAGAGAGGAAGGATTATTTTTAAGGAATAAGTATTTGTCCATAATTTCGTTATTTCAAATATTACCTCAAATTTTAGTAAAAGCAAATTAACTTCTCCCATTCAATTAGAGGATACTGATAATCATAGAGCCGAAGTTTTATTTATTGAAATACTAAGACACAGTTGTTTGGTTTTGTTTGTTTGTATGAGTGATTTAATTAATCCTTTAAATATATTAATTAAAGATTATGTATTAGCTGTGAGTACGAAAACGATTTTATTAGAAAACATAATTCACTTCCTTAATATATTTTAAAAAGTTGGGTGGTCCTTGTACCCTTCACGAATCCAGATTTGTAAAAAATAATTTTAATTTGAGTGTAGATAAATACGACATAAACCAAGTTTAGAAATGCTCGTCCCCAAAGTATCATTAAAAAAGATTGCATTTAAGAATAGAACCTGGGACCATTTTCCGATAATTAATCGGAGTATCTTGGATCATGTAAAGATGGGGAAAAACCCTTTAATGAAATCAGGTTTACAAGAAGAGCGTATACAAATCGTAAAGAAACGTTGTGCCAATTTTTTTTTTATTTTGAAAGAAAAACAATTCGTATGTACCTTTGGTTAGAAATCAATTAATTTATGTAAGTCCTTGACCAATTTTATAAATTTCATACGTAGAGTATAAATGCATACTAATTTATCAATGCCGTAACTTATTTTACATTTGAACTCTATTTGTTTGATGGAATGCCTGTTTCTTCATGAATTTCAGAAGATAAAATGTTAATAATCCAGTGACTTGAGTCATTGATACATCTCATGATAATTTTAAAAATATAGTTTGAAGTTAATGTTTGTTTTGAAGAAACGACCAGGTTATTTGAAATGCTTCAAAACATGAGGATTGAGTGAGTGCTCTGTAAGAAACAAATGAATGATCTAGTTACATCTTACTGAGGAAACTTGCAGCAAAAAATCTGTGGCAACAAGACATGGGGTGTTTTTAATATCACGTGATTTGCTTACATTTCGCAGGAATGAATATGTGGTCACTCATTTGCTTAATGATTATTTATCATGCTTGGTAAAGGTATGTTGTTTGGGATTTATAGTCTTTTTTATACATGCCATAAGTTTGATTTTAACTGTCCTTGGGATTTTGACTTTCCTATACAAGAGATGGAAAATTTATGACAAACCGTGTCACTGAGAAAATAGAGTGAACAACGACGACGGAGTTTTCATGTTATGGTGCCTTGTGGTTTGTTTGACATTAATACTTGGAATAATTTGGCCATGCTATTGTATATTTTTGTTTTTCTTATAAGAAAGAAAATAAAATCCAAAGGTACCTTACGAAATCTTGATTTTGTATGGTCATATATGTATACTACTTGCTCCGACTTCAAGTAGGGGAGATAAGACTTCGTTGTTTTGTATATACACCTCTTCTTGCGAGCGTGCATAAGATGGCAGTAGAATTGGCTTCTTTGTTATATTGGAAAAAGCACAAGAAATGTTTGAGTGACTAAATTGTGCATTGGTTTGATATGTTGTATTCTTTGTCAAACTCTCAGAATGAAGAATAAAGTTTAAAACAAACGGCACTACTGAGTTCTTGTCAGTATTTGGAGTTAAGTTTGTTTCTTTATCTACTTTGTTTGAGTAGTGTGAATCATTTATATTTTTAGTAAGCAAGAATATTTTGAATGTCTTCAATAGCTCAACAAATGAGCTTTAGAAAAAGAAATACAGATTAAGAAAAGACCAAATAGTATTGAGAAAGGCAAAAGGCTTATGAGACCAAACTGTTATAGGCTAGCTTTTGTCCACATTCCTTAGGATCTGTAACTGGTATAGGGTAGCTTTCCTTCTACTCTATAGAATGCAAAAGGATCCTGTTCTTGGATTGAACAATCAACTCTTTTTTTACTCATGCTATTTGAGAGAAGTTGCATCACAGTCTCTATAACTGCTTGTAGAATGCATCAATGGCATCGGTAATCCATGAATTCTAGGAAATGCAGAACTGTATCCTCGTTCAGCTGTTTTAACTCTTTAGAGTGTACAGTCTCTTGTTAAGATAATATAAACAACCTTTTAGGCTGTCAGAGACATTCCCTGAACAAAGAATCCCTAGAATATGTCCAACAGACGCATAAAAAAGTACCATCTAATCTTCAGCTGTGTCTATTAAATCCAATTACGTAAAGTGCAGTGCTGTCTGTTCATTCTATGGAAAGATTAGCATACTATCCATAAGAAGAAAAGAAGTCCTTACGGAATTCTAGAACTAACAAGAAAGTAGCACCTAAAATTAACATAATCCCTTTTGCAAATGTTAGGATGAGGGAAACTCTCACTGGTATTTGGCTAGATGATACTCGCAATATATGAAGGAAGACTTTACTTCTAACTTAGCTTTTATGTATAAAACATAAGTAGGTAATATTATTATATCATAATTTGGAAAGATGCTTTCATCGTTTCTCATATACGTTTTCTATACAATCTTAATCTATAAACCCTTTAAATATTATGACCATTTTGTTTTCTATTGAAGGCAGTAATTTTTCATGTAAGTTTTTTTTTTTTTTTTTTATGCAGATCTAATCAGTCATACCAACATAGAAATAATTGTCGCAGTGATAAACAGGAAATATGACTAAATTGCATGTACTTGTCTGAAGATAGCGTATTTCATTTTCTAGAAGCAGATAAAATTGACAATGAATTGTTGGTATAACAGATTAAGCAGCTGCTCCAACTGCCACACCACCCTTGAGCCTGGATTTACCGTATAGTGTTTCTTCAAACCGGATGATCTCATTCTTGGATCCATAAGCAACTTGAGTTCTCTCATCAATGTTAGTGATGACTTTGTCCAGCACAGACTGATGACCATCACTGCTGTAACCTCCAGCCTTTTCAATCAAGAGCCCCAAGGGAGCTACCTCAAACAACAGTCTCAGCTTGGCTTTAGCCGATGGTGATGCCACGTTGGTGAATATGCCTTTTTCTTTTACAATAATCTGCAGTCACACGAAATTTTGGAAGTATGTGGATTATTATACTAGGTAGGTTGACAGAGAGCTTCACAAAACACCCTTGTCTCAGAAAGAATATAAAACTGTGTTAAGGAAAGAACCTGGTTGACATCCGGAACCATTCCTCCGGTGTATCTCAATGTATACTTTTCGCTGACGTAGTAGTCGATCAACTATTGGACGACAAAGAAAGTTGTAAGTATTACACATTATAATAACACTAAAATCTTCCTTTACTGATATGAGAATACAGGTAGACCTTGGCATAATCGAGGTTGTCAGATGTGGCTCTCAAATTTCCTGGGGAGAACAATTTTCCTTCACCAATTTCTGTGGTCTCTTTGACATGCTGCCATTTTCCTGAAATATGAAATATATATTAGATATTTTGGTCATGTGATAAAGTTTGTCTAACATGAGCAAGAAAATGTATAACTGAAAGTTCCTTATAATCTTTACCCATTAAAAACTTAATGGTGGACACATGGTTGCTCAATCCAGAGACAAACTTATGACAAGTTCCATTTTAAATAACCATAGGATAATGTATAACTACTCGCTTACTAAATTCTAATAAATTTTATCTGACCTTCATCAAGCAGAAGAAATTCATGGGTGCCAGGGAAGTCTTTTAGAGCAAGCACATATGTGGTTCTAGGACCCATAACCCCCATGGCTGCTGCAACTTGATCTCTTCCGGTGACCCCAGTCAACTTATCTCCAGGCCACACACCAAAAATGGTGCCGACTGTGAAATTTGTGTCCACAATGCTGGAGCCATCAAGGGGATCAAATGCAACACTAAATCCACCTGCTTGTTGCATATTCACACAAATGCATCACCTCAAAAGTTACATTTTGTAATAAAGACAGGCCTCAATTCACTTGCCAGTTTAATATAATTATTATGGCAGACCTTCAACAGGACCTCCCATGTCCTGGAGCTCGGGATTTTCTTCAGAGGAAGCATACTTGCAGAAATGGGAGTAATTTAAGGCCTTTACAATACAACATTGGAGACGTCAGTTTCATTGCACATTGAAAATTATAAATTAATAGTACATGTACTGACAGTGTAAAGTTCTTCTAAATATTATTTAATTAAAATATGGTGTATGATTAGTTTATCATCCGCTTTCATATTAAAGTATTTTTAAAATCATACTAATAATGACCTTTGATTGATTGTTATACAAAAACTTCTAAGATAACAGAGTCATAGCATAACAGAGTATCCTTAATAAATCATTTGAACTGGTTTTCATTGAACTTCGGACAAATAAAATTGTCGATGGAAAGTTTTCGAAAAAAAAATCTCACTATGACAAATAACAATCGACGACTAAAAGTACATTTTCTCTTACAAAGAATATCACTACTATTCGTGAGAAATAATTCTTCAAAGTACTATTTCACTTCATAAGCTTGTACAAGAGCCGTATGTTTACGGGTCCCTTGGGTTGCACCAATCAACATTGCATGTAATGGGTTAGTTAAACTACAACGGTGGAGAAATGTGGTGCACAAGAATCAGGATTTTGATTGTTTAATTAGGATGAAACATATTGCAAAAGCACTGGTCTAACCTCAAAAAGGAGCTGGTTAGCCAGCAAATCCACTGCAAGCTGCTCGTCCCCAAAAGAATTAACACACTGCGTTCCACCACAAGAAGCCGTCTTCACTTTGAAGGAAATTGTTCTTAATGCTTCTCCCATGGATACCAACAACCTGATAAGCCCCTTATCTGGTGTTGCTTTTGTGAGGAATTCTTCCTACAATACAGAAACACCAATATCAGTTTATTTCACGTGCATGTTAACCAAAGTACCAAAATGCTTGCGAGTTTGACACAACACATTCAGCAAATGCTTAGCTATATAGTCTAGGATATGAACTTTGTTTGTACTGTGAAAGTAACTCACCAGACTGTCACCAATTTCACATCTGGTTACGAGTGAAGTATCCTTTGTCCTGGAAACCTTCAGTGTTGATTTGGATGCCACCCTTAGTGATTCTCCAAATAAAGAGCTTGATTTCAGATTCTATCATTGCAAACAAGTTCATTTTAGACATCCATTTTCTTTCCTTGAAGTGGTGTCTTGATATCTTATAAAGAAGAAGTTAGTTGCATAAAGAAAGAAAAAACTGCATGGTTGGCATATAGCATTCTCAAAGTGTAATTGAAAAGATTCAATCCGCATACCCTGAAGCCAAAAGATGGAGAGACGGAGGGTGGGGAGTGCTTGGAAGAAACAGTAGGCAAGAAAGGCCCGCGGGTGTAGCATGCTATGCCTGTTTCCATGGCTGCAAAGGATATCCAAAGGTTAAGGATGTTGTGTTATGTTATTTTATTTTATGTTATTGCATTGATTGATAGATAGATAGAGACCAAGAAGGGAGAAGAGGGGATAGCAATTTTAGATATGTGGCTAACTATGTGTGTAGTGCCACGTGGAAGGTGCTGAATAGATAGGCTAATGAAACTGCATTTTGGTAGGAATATTTAGCATCGCATGTATTTATGTGGTTGTGCTATGGTCCTATATAAGAGATATGGTGGGGAGATGCTAGCCACCACTGTTTGTTCATTTCTCACTTTCTGGTTAACTCGGTCTTCTGCATAAGTGTGATGTGGTCGTTCATATTTCACTTGTTACACTATAAAGTTATCAAATGCACTGTATTGTAGACAAAGCTGAAAAAAAATCCTCAACCAAACTTTCTTGAACCATGCATGGACACTGTTTTTACTTGCCCAGGCTAGAACATGTAATTAGGGAAAGGACGAAAGGACATTCATTTTAGAGATCTCAGATCTAATGAAGAAGATGTTACAAAATTCTTGGCCAACTTTGTTTTTGGATTTTAAAATTAAATGAAGATGATAATTCTGATTCGGCTTGCCCTACAGTGGGACGAAACTGGTTTTTTATCAAAATGCTGTAATTTTTCATCAAATTTATTGAAATAGATAAATATTTTTTTTAAATACGAATTTAAATAAATCATATTAATAATAATAATATAAAATTTTAATTTTTATAAATTTAATTATTATTATTTACTTTATTATTAATAATATAAAAAATATCATTATTAATTATAATAATTAATATTATGATATAAAAAATAAAAATCTTATTAATTTAAACATGACATGAATAGGACTCTTATTCTTTAAAAAAATAAACTAAATCTTATAAGTTCTATAAAAGAAAGAAATTGAATCAATTCTTACATATTAATTCAATTAATCACGATTTGTTAGGAGTAAAATGCTTGTAAAGAATGTAAAAAATCTTAATCAAAGATTTACCTACCACTGGTTAGTCAGATTTAGCATTGAAAATAGTTCAGATTAAAGAATATGAATTTATTACGATTAGGGTAAATGAATATGTGAGGTAACTTTAATCTAGAAAAGTAATCCAATTTTCCTTTTTAAAAATCTTAATTACTTTATTTATATTTTTTTCAAGTAATTAGGATTTAGTACAGGGTAATTTGTAATTTAGTATCTCCTTGCTAAATGGAGGGGTAAATATATATATATATATATATATATAATGTGTCTCCATCAACTTATACTCAATAAAAGAGTTTATCTTAAGTTTTAAACAGCTTTATTTGGTTAGATAATTAGGTTCAAGTAGAATAGTCTTTTTATTATATATAATACAGATATTTCAAAAGTAATTTTTAATAAAGTCATTTTATGTAAAAAGTTTTGTAGACCTTAATTTTATTGATTCAACCATTTATTTAACTAAATTAAATAGTTTAAAATTTTATTAAAAAATTGTAGCTATGCTTTACGTGATATATAAACTTCCAACTTAATGGTTGAATTATTGAAATTTAATATAAATAGAGTTATTAAGATGGATTTATTTTAAAATTTATAGATTTTTCTTTTATATAATAATATTTACTAAGTGAATAACTGTATTTTTTTTATTGTTGAAAAAAAAGTTGGTGGTGGTATTCTGAAAAAAAGACAAATCTTCAAGAAAAATACGAATCACTAAACTTTAAGTTTATTTCATCCCGTAAATATCTTAAAAATTATTAGTATTATTATTATTAACGAATCTCCTTCAAAATATAAATCAACTTAATTTTATTACCAAACCCATTTTTATGTAAATTAATTGTATTTATAGATTTGTTATATTTTTATGAAAAATACAATTTTTTAAAGAGATATATGTCATGACTTTTTTAATGAAAAAATATTATTCTTCAAAATAGACAGTGAATTTACAACTTTACGAAATTATATATCATAATACATTTTTACAAAAGAACACGCACATTTATGAAAAAAATATAAAACTTCATAGCATATTTATAAGTAAGGATGTAGTTATACTTATTTCTTTTTCCTGATAAAATTATACTGCTTTCCTTTAACTTAAAAATCACTCACATTTATGAATAATATTAAACATTTGATGATACGTTTTCATGTTAAAAAACATGGTTCTAAATATATTGAAGTAACATACTTTATCCCATATTTTTTCTTTATCCTATGTTTCTAAATTTAATCATTATACTTTCACACATTTTAAATATGTAGTTATTTTTAATTTATTTTGAGTGTAGATAATAATAATAAATAAATAAATAAATAAATAAGACATTTTGCGACATTTCGTGAGACGAACACACGAAGCAAAAGTAAAAACATAAAACAAAGGAAAGACACAACAAAAATATAGGAAGCTTCCTTCCGCGTCCACATTCTCTGCTGTCTTAAATGCAACTGCATAAATCTCACCGTTAATTTCCCTTTTCATATATTAAAATGTTAATAAAATATAACCTAAAAAAGTTTAGACCGTTGGATTGTGAATACAGAATCCTTCAATCACAGTACGGTAACTAACAGAGAAGCGGCGAAATATCCTTGCTCCTAACCCATGGCAACTCATTTGTCTTGGCATTCTTATTGAAAATATATATATACTTTTTCTTCGGCAAGATTATTGCTTTGGCACAGAATGATGTCTTTCTCAGGTGCTTTTCTCATATAATCTCATCATTTTCTGAAAGTTTGAAAATGTTTTTTTTACAAGTGTATTTTTAAAAAAGAAAAGAAAACAGAAAACTACATACAATTTTAGAATAAAGTTTTGTTCTTTATCTTGGCCCTTAGATGAAAATTGCAAAGCTCCGACCCTTTTGAATTTGATGTCATGAATCATGAGCAAATGAATTCATGTTAAATTATATTATAGGTAATCCAATCCCCTTGGCATTTGGACGCGAAGTGCAAAGTGGAGTTTACTTGAACCGGATCATAGGTTCGTATTAGCTTGCATTTTGGACTTCGAAGCTATGTCTGCATATGCTCATCAAATGGAGCAGCAGTACTCTGCACCTAGTCTCTCAGATGAATCTGGTATGTAATGCCAATTTGTCACTCTTTAGCTATGAATAAATAAAAGAAAACATTATGATATGTTGTAGAGCATACCACTAAATAGATTAGTGTTTGGAGTTCAGTAATTATTCCATGTAATTACTTTTATGCAAATATAATAGTCATCAATGGATTAACTTGAGAAAAGTAGTGTTTTTCGGGATCACATGGATCATGGTGTTATTAGACTCATTCAAAGACTGAGTAATCCATGGGAAGAATATCCACGAATTTTACATTAGCTGCTGAGGGTCGAATACAACTCTCCTCTTTACCTTGGGTTGGGACTAACTTTGTTCTCTCCCTCCAAGAAAAAGAAAAAAGAAAGATCAGTCTCATCAATTGATTTGATCCAAGTTGCACTATTTTTACCTTTAAGGCTATAAATGACTTACTAAATGTACTCATTTTATACATCATACACGTTCTTGGCCATCTTATGTTTTTAGCTTCTTCCAAATGAAGTTTTTACTTTCGTGTTTTACAGAGACAAGAAGCCATTATGAGCTAGAGTCAGGATTCTTCATGAAATCATTTACTGCAACAATCTTTGTTGCTTCACTTGTGACTCTTGGAGTTCTACTAATTACGTTGGTGATTTCCTTGGTGATTATGCTGCAATCCTGTCAAAGTAAAAGTGCTGGAGTAATCGAGCTTCTGAATATAAATGATTATTACAGTTATTGCAGGGTTTATTCTCTGTTTGCAGAGCTCAATAACTTAGAAGGATACAATCTTCCTACAATATGCAGAGACCTGGCTGTACACTACATCAAAGGAGGTCAATATGCTAGAGAGTTGGATTTGACTATGTCTGTGATTGACGATTACTTTAAGAGTGTTATACCTTTAAAGGATGGTTCGGATGTGGTTTTGATGGACATAGATGACCTTTTTCCTCGGAATTACTCTTCCAATTTGTTTCACAGGTCATCTCTTCAAATCACTGATTCCTAATAAAGGATGACGGAAAATATAGATTACATCAGATTAACTAGTATTGTGGTGACTAGAATTTTTTTATTGTGGTTTGTTAATCTTGCATCAGTTCACCAATTGTTATTTCATGCTTCTCAAAACTTTGTTAATTATCAGTTTAACATCCTTCAACCTGATGTTGATCTTCATTATCTTTTATTGCATTGCGTATAACTTAGCAAGGGGTGTCTCTTGGTGTAGGTTTTCCAATGACAGCACTAGCAACTGTATTAAAGAGGCAAACAATGTAAAGCTCATGTTTGTTTTAAGATTATACATGTACCTACAAACTGGTGGGTGGTCTATAATTTTGTTATCAAGAGAAACTAGAACAAACCGAAACGTCACCATTAATCATCTTGTCTCTGCGGGATTTAGAAGCTGGTCTGCCTTGATAATGAGGTACAGTGATCATGTTCGTTCTATATATCAAAGATTAAGCCTTGTTACGAAGTCTTGTGGGTTCTAAATCGTTTATTCTTTAAATAGCTCATCTTGTATTGAGGTTCAAAAACATATTTTTGAGATGATGTAATATTTCAGAGTATTAATTCATATCTAGTTATCTCCCAGGTTACTACGTAAGTTAGCTTTAGCTTTTTCAAAAGCGTTGAGGCAGGTGCATTTTACAAACTTCGCTTTAGCTTTACCAAAAGTATCAAGTAAGAACTGAATCTTATGCTAACAAAATTTAATTTTTTGCAGAGCAGAAGATTCATATCCCACGAAAGGGTATGAATACTTTTCTAGGCAAATGAATGTTATGAGGAAGAAGGGCTTCCGAATAAAAAGTATCATAAGCAGCCATATGGATGCCGTGGCCGTTTCAGAGACTGGAGGGCGAAATTTTTTGCTTCCAGACCCTCTCTGTGAAAAGTTTGAGAAGCAGACAGAGCATAGATGCTGAATATTAGTTTCATGATTCATCCTTCAGGATGAGAGTTCCTCTCAATTCAATTATATAGGTTCTCATTGAATCTAAGTTTGTTCTTGCTATACTCATTTAACATCAATGCTACACAATTTAATCTTACCTCAGAGGCATAGAATAGCTTTCCAACTGAGAGATGTGTTTGGTATGTGGTTGTAGATCCTTGCACACCCATGTGTGAGACATATGAGTATGTTTGAAAACCAGTTTAGAATTGCAAAACGTTCATGACGCATTTCAATGTATCAAATGAAGAATTAAAATTCTGTTTTGTTGGCGTTGATAAGGCCTGTAATTGTATCCAAAAACGTTATACATTATGAAATACTTTTTTTTCAAGCTGTGACGTGACAGTAAACAGTATTACATATATAAAGATTTTAGTGCTTGAATACAACATTGGAACGGTAGAAAATTCAGGAAATGACTTACAAATACCCGTAATCAAATTCTTTTGGAATGTTCGTTAATCACGCTTATATTGTGGAACTAAATCTCGATTACGAAAATCATGTAATTTCCTTGCAGTATTTTGAGCCTCTATTTCCAATTCAATGACAAGGTCCTACAACATACAATGATTTACGATACTTAAAAGGTCCCTAACTTCGTAATTACACAAACGTGGTTCCCTGTTTAACTCGTTTAATCATTTTGCTTTTTTCTTTCCGGGTCTTGCTAACTGGTATCAAACCAGTGTCCTCTATTTAAACAATTCAAAATAGAAGTTGCAAATAATAACATCTGACTGATTTAAACTCAACAGTAAATGGATAGGTAACGTAACAAATTAACGCTAAAATAATATCAAGAGATTATACTACTATTTATCAGCTATTACTTTTTGCTTCTATTAGTCATTGATATATATTTGTAAGCTTCCAAGCGTTTACGAAACCCCCTGAAAATTTATGTCATCCACATTGCAAGCACTCTAAACTACCACCACGTTCTATGCAGTACTACAAACTAAAAAAGAATATTATGAAGTATGACAAATGCCTAGACCGGAGGTGGACCACCAGACTGAAGCCGCTGCAACCACGATATCCTCAGATTAGGTGTTTTCAATTGCAGAAAAATTTCCCTATATTCCTGCTTAAGGAATACATCTAAAGCAAACATGTAGAGATCACTTCCTTGTTCTATTTCTTCCATTCTATCAAGGCATTCAATGCACTCACCGATGCTATAATTGAATTTGCCTTCAATGGATGAAACTGCACTAGCATTCTTTTGAGTACTTACACCATTTCTTGATGCAACAGCAAAACAATGACATTCAGTTTTCTCGTCTAAGTTGGCTGTGTCAGGTTCTTTTGTGTGAAAAGGGAAAGTAATAACACTGTCATCACTTTTCCTTTGTTGAGCGGTAGGTTCAGTCTCTCCAGTAACAGTAGTTCCATTAAAGATGGCTTCCAATATGTCAGTGAATTGTAGTCCCTTTAAGCGAAATTGTGCAGCTTCTGGATTTTCCTGTACCAAAAAGGTGGAAATCATGAACTTCCGTTAAGATTTAGAGCATGGGCTACAAATTAGATGCGGTCAGAAACATAACTTACCTGTAAATAGTTGCTCCAATCTTCTTCACTAGCCTCAAACTTCAGGTTAGAGGGATCCCATTTCATGTAACTGGTGCCAATAAGCTTACACCAAATTTTCCATTGTTCCTTGGTAGAATCCCAATGATTCTTAAGTTGTAATCTACCATAATTTAAACCAGTTTTTGCATAAAATGATTCCATAATGTTTTTCCAACCTTCCTTTGTAAAATGTGTCCCGGGCTTATGCCCCTGTAATGTCTCTTGCAAACATAGATCAACAAAGATCTTGTGCACTGTTGGAGTCCATGCAGCTTTAACCTTGTGATACGATGAACTGGACATGCTCTGCTCACTTGGAACTGTGCTGATTGGGATGGCATTAACCATAACGGCACTCTTTAATCCACAATCCCGACTAACATTCCTGCGTTTCCTCTCACGCTCTTTTCCGTGCAATGTAGCAGAGGCATCATTTTGCCTCTTAAGCATAGCTATCATTTCCTCAGTTGGCATAGCTCCATCAAAGACGACACTTAATTTGTCAGAAAACTGGAGCTCCTTAAACCGAAATTGTGCAGCTTCTGGGAATGCCTGTAACAAAACGACTTCATTACTATTAAAACAATGAAAAAGATCACTTACAATACTGAATGAACATTAATAATTACGATGAATACCTTTATACAGTTGTGCCAGTCTTCCTCAGAAGCACCAAACGTATTGGTTTGTGGGTCCCATTTCATGTTATCATCACCGATCAACTTAGCCCAGATTTTCCATAGTTTCCTAGTTGAATCATAATGATTCTTAATTTGTTTTTTGTCGTATCTCATACCAGTCTTTGCATTAAAGGATCCAACAATATTCCTCCAGCCCTCCTTGGTAAAATGTGTAGCAGATTTGTTCCCCTTCAACGTTTCTTCGATGCATAAGTCAACAAAAATTTTATGGTATGCAGGTGTCCAAGAAGCTTTTGGTGTTGGCGAATAGCCAACCATAATGGTACTATCTGATTCATAATCCCTTTCAACATACTTGCGTTTCTTCTCTCGCTCTTTTCCACGCAAAGGAGATGTAGCTGAAGCATTATTCTTCCACTTGAAAGTGGCCCACCTTTTCATTTCCTCAACTCGATTTCCTCCATCAAAGATTATACCCAGTTTGTCTGTAAACGGGATTTCCTTAGACTGAAACTGTGCAGCTTCTGGGATTGCCTGTGACAAGATGGCTTCATTATTATTAATCTGGAACCAAGAAGACATCTAACAATCTTGGATTTACATCAATAATAAATCAATAATCACTATCCATGCCTTTATATAATTTTGCCAGTCTTCCTCAGAAGCACCAAACTTCCGTGTTTCTGGATCCCACTTCATGCTGCTATCATCAGTCAACTTGACCCAAACTTTCCATAGTTTTCTGGTGGAATCATAGTGATTCTTAAATTGCTTTTTGTCATATCTCACACCAGTCTTCGCGTAAAAGGATCCAACAATGTTCCTCCAACCCACCTTGGTAATTCGCGTTGACCCAGGTTCATTCTTCAACATTTCTCCAAGGCACAAATCAACAAATATACTATGGAATCCAGGTGTCCAAGTGGCTTTAGAAGTCGAACTTGACATGCTTGTATTTGAAAAAGTTCTGATATTTTTACAAGCAATTAACTAGTAACAATCAAACCAACCAACTTCAATTTTTATAAAATACAGTAAGATCCTATCCTCATTTTCAATTCTCCTATTTGAACTCCTACCAATCACACCTCAAAGAATAATAAGAACATCTTGCCAGGACTAGTATAAACGGCAAAAACTACTAAGAAATGAAAAAAAAAAAATGACATTAAAAATATAATAACTCTTGAGTGGGTACAATTGCAAAAACATTTGTTCCTAAGATGAACAATAACACAAATTTGACAAATCAAAATATTTTACAACCTCAAATAGAAACTCTGTAATATCTATGGTTCACTTTCACCTACATGCACGTGCATGCTCCGATTATAAAAGGGATCAAGAATGGGGAAAGGGAGGTTTCAGTGATAATGGGAGTAAAATATAAAGGGAAAAAACAAAAGATTAATTAAAGACGTTGAATTGGTACTAGCTTTGCATGTGCGACAAGGTATAAGAGTCGAAAAAATGTTTGTGGAAAAACGGGTAAGCGTGAGTGAGAGCGAAGAGAAGAAGTATCGTACCTGAACTTCAACGACAATGCTGCATTTGGAGCAAACGCGAATTTGATCGTAAGCGCTTCGGAAACTCAAAACACGATATACGTTCGTTCTTTTTTCTATGGGATTATTAGCTTCTGAAATCTTTCCTTATTGTTTCGTTTTTCCTTATTACGATCACAATCGAAGCCCATTAATGAATGGGCATAAAGCTACCTCTATTCAGGACCCAAGTTGAAAGAGCCCAGTATCTATTTTCAACTTTCCATTGAAATAATAAAATTAATAATATATATATATATATATATATATATATATATATATTTTTATGAAGCAGACACGTTTGTGAATTAGGTCAAATAATATTTATACAATAATTTATAAAAAGTTATAATATTTATTTCAGTGTTTTTACCTCATATATTAGATTGGTGACTAATCAAGGAAATATGTGTTTACTGCAACTCTTGATTCAGTGAATTGAATAGTCAGTTTAGGATACAGAATTTAATTTATATTAGCATCTTAAATTTCTATTTGATTATAACACTTAAAATAAATTTAAATATTATGAGCCAATTTACTCAATTCAATTTAATATGTTAATGACTAAATTGGTTTGGGTTTAATAAAAAAAATTGCAACAAACTCAATTCAAGTCCCTACCATTTTAATTAAGTTAGGTCATAAATTCATTAAAACTCAACTCAATCATAAATTCATTATATACAACAGAATGTATTATATAATATAATTGGTTTGTATTCATTTTCAAAATAAATACAATTTTCTTCACTAATTTTGGAAGATTTTTTTTTTTCAATTATACATGTTAAGAATAAAGCTCACAAAACTTCATGGGTAGGTTTAGTAATACAGTACTTACTTTGTACTCGCAATCATTTTTAAAGTTGGTGACCTTATATCATGGTGAAATTATTTTTCAAATTAGTGAATTGGTCTAAAATATTTCAAACTGAATAATTTATTTATTTTTGCAATTTGGTACATTAATCTAAACATTTTCCTTAAATATACATCAGTTTTTAAAAAGTAATAAAACAATATCTTATTATGATTTTTATAAGTTTGGATAAATTTATTTAAAATAAATAAAAAATCTATTTATTTTAAAGGAACCTGAAAAAAAAAAAAAAAAACGGATGGCGTTGATTTGAGAAAATTCCTTCCTAGTCATTGATCAAGCAACATCACCTTTAGTGGGGCCTAAACGATATGGCGCTAACACATAGTGAGATTCTTTCAAATAAATACAAGCGTTAGCTTAGGTACTACTAATACTACTACACAACACCAGTGTGTTTATTCGTTCACGAAGAGTCCTAACCATGGGTTGGTGGTTTGGCAGAGAAATAAGCAACAGCACCTACAAACGGTGCATTGATGTATGTTGCTGGCTCTGACTGCTGATAGTTATTTCGATCATCGGAGAAGTTGTCATTGCTGTCAGGACCACCTACTATGGCTCCAACAAGCACATTTGGATTGGGAGAGCCTGCATACAGATACTGAAACCCCTCATTGCAGGAAATGTGCTGAGTCCTGTCACGAATGGAAGGTAGAGAGGAACCCCTGTGGTGGATATGCTTTGGATACCTCTCCCCAAAACCCACCATATAAGACATCTTTGTTGGATTATTGCCCAGAATGTAGTCAACTTGTGTTTTGGCTAGTTTTACGAGGTTTTCACCCGTGACTGTTGAACTCCCACATCGGACAACGCCCCCGTTTGCTGAAAGATACTTAGCGTACGTCAACAGAAGGAAACTTGTGGACGTTACATACTGCAAATTGCTCTCGCTTCCCTTGAACAGAAGCCCCCCTGCAGAAGTTCACGGTCAAATATTTTACGAATAAAGTTAAAACATAATAAAAAAATGATAGATGTTCAGAGTGAAATGAAATACATACACCTTATAAGTTCACAGTGGTAAGACCAAATAACTTAGACCTTAAAACATTAATTACAAGTATTTCTGTCGGAAACCATATTTCTCGACAGCCAGTGAGATAGTTACAGTCAATTATCAAATACTTTTCTTTTGTTTAACTGTACTTATAAACAAGTCAACTTAGCGATAAATATATGAAATAGTTCGTGAAACATATTGAGAGTGATAATAGAAGGACAAATTTGGTGCTAATTATATATCTTCCATGACTTAGCTAGTAAAAGTACATTTATGTTGCTAATGTATTTACCCTAATATTTAGGGGAAGAAAAATCATGAATCTTTTGTTTTTATTTCTTTTTTTTTTTTCATTTTTGGATTATGTTTATTATTAATCTTCTTTTCTAAATACCAGATTTTTTTTTATTCTCCTGTGACTTTTTCTAATGAAACATGAGGATAAATATTAAATAATAGCGATTTCTGACCTCTGGTGTACTGAGCCTGGAAACCGGGTGTTCCCGACATTAGCGAGCAAATGTAATTATCTGAATGTGCCTTGTATAATTGGAAGTCTTCTGAGTTTTTCTCCAAGAATTCCTGTCATAGTGTCCATGCAAAATAAACCTTGTAAGTGATACATATATATACAGGTGATGGCATGTTGGCTCAAAGAAAATGAATTCAGAATCTATCTCTTTTAACCTAAGATCAATTATATGTTTAACTTCTATAAAGGTTATCAAACTTCTTTTACAAGGTAATGTTGCATGAGTTTATTTTAGTTTATGAAAAAAGTTTAATTTTTTTCCAATATCTATTCACATAAAATCCTAGTTGAAAGCAAACAGAGGGAACCAGAAGGGTACTTTGGAAAGGAGGATTTTGGTTCCAGGTCGCTTGTCATCCCAGCTGAAGGAGAAACCATCATCATCAGCACCTAAAGTGTGGCCATTGGATCGTATATATTGCATGTATGAGCTAGTTCCCGAAGCTTTATAAATCCACGATGCACCCCACAGAAGTTCATCCTATTTATTATATACAACAAAAGCAGGTCTAATTAGAAACCATGCATTCATGACATATGTTTCATTGTTTCAAATGTAATTAAATTGTGCATGCCTTACATGGTATCCAGAGTAAGAGCAGTAGAAAGGACAGACAACAGAACCAAGAGAATCACTGTAAGAACCCCTGTAACGGTCTGCAAAATTGAATACCTGAGAAGTAACATTGAGAATGATTAGAAAATTAACATGCAGAACACTTAGCTAGCAAGAAATGAATAGGGGGAACAGCTTATTTTTATTTATTAATTACTTTGATGGCTGCTTGAAGTAATTTGGAGGAGTATGTTGGATCCGAATCTCTGAATACTATTGAAGAAGCTGCCAGTGCAGCTGCCGTCTCTGCTGCTACATCTGATCCTGGGTTTTGAGCTGATACCTTATACACATTGCGTGGAGTGTCCATATCTTCAGGCCTTTCCCAACACTTGTGATCCATGTTCGGGTCTCCTACCTGCATTATTCAACCTCTCTTATTCATTTCTATCATCGTTTTTCTTAGAAATCTTACATCGACCCGTGAGTTAATCTTTTGGAGTTAAGTCAAAATCTAAATTGTAAGATGCTATCAAAATATATTTTAATAATTTTCTTTAGTCTTATCAAACCAACCGTTATTGATTCACGTCTAGTCTTTAAAGACATTCATACTCGAGATATATAATCCTCAATCAGTGTCTAGTGTAAACCAAAAAGATTATATAAAAGTAGAGACCCTTCTCCATTTGATGAACTGGCTTTAAGGGTAGAGTTTACTGTAAACCAAAATTCAAGGATTTTTTCCTGTACTCTCCCTCCCAGCACTGTGATATGAATCATATGAGAATGGATTGTTTATGTATATGAGATGTTAGAAGCATAGAACTTAATTAGGTGGCTGTTAAATAAAGTTTGCTCACTTGGACATATAATGTGTCAGGGGTGGTGGTGGCAGCCTTGAGAAGGTAATCTGTGCTCCAGCGGATAGCAGCTCTAGCGTTGTCAATTTGGTCCATCATGGAGCTTCCAAATTCAATCACACTCCATGCTAACAATGTAGTGGTAAAGGCCATTGGCAACCCAAACTTAACGTTATCTCCAGCATCATAATAACCACCAACTAAGTCCACCTAAATTACAACATTACTCATGATTAAACTGTTAGTGAGCAAAATTATAAGCAGTTTAGTTTAAATTTTTAATTGTATATAAATATATATATACATGATAAGAAGAGCCATCGGATAATCCAGAATCTCCCCTCCATGTTAGTCGCTGGTTGGAAGGCAATTTTCCCGACCGTTGTCCCTCAAAGAAGAGAATGGATTTCTCAAGAGCCTCATGGTACTCTTGCCATGTGAAAGCTAAGCTTAGCTGATGAAACGAAGAACATAATATTAGCAACAGAAACTGCAACATTAGTGGAAATGTGGTGACTGAAGCCATCCCTTTTGGCATGTGCACTTCTTTCTTTAACTGAGACAGAAAGAATTAAAGGATTAAGAGAATGGAGTGATGGTTGGTTTATATTTATAACGTGGACCTGGATTGTACTTGTAAACAAGGAGTAGTAGTAAGTTGGTTAGGAGATTAGTTAACTTGTCGTGGAGCATATGAGGAATTAATTAACAAAAAGTTGTTTCAAAATTTTTATCATTTTTAGTGATAATATTCTACTCAAACAAGATTGTGTTTTGTAGTTTGAAAAAAGGGCTAGTTAGGTGATGTTAATGCTGACTGGTCACAGGATCAACTGCGGCAAACGGGGCTAGCAGAAAGTCCAAACATGTGACTGCTTTATTGGATACTTGGGGTGAAGAGGGCATTTGCAGAAGAATACATTGAAAAATAAATACACGTTTGACTGGGATATAGTAGTTATATTACTGTGGTGGTTATTATTGGCGAAACTTACGCCAGGAAATTGGACTAGAAACTAGTTAGAAGTTGGGTATATTGGAGAAGTGTAGTTTGTCTGTAGCAAAGCAAGGAAGTCACGGACACAAAATTAGGAGTCACATGAGAACATTTTTTATGAGTATAGAAATGCCACAGAGCCAATCAGAGAAACCATAATATAAATCACGTGAAGGGGATGTTCACATGAATGGTCAAGGATTCCTGCATCTCTTTCGGTGGGAAGAGAAAAGAAGTGCATCTTCTCTGAATTGCAATGCGTGAAAGCAAGAGAGAGGACGAGTTGATTTTGGGTTGCCCAATTTCACGCCTCTTTCCCCAATCATCATTTAATCTAGGATTTGGTCGCTTGCTCTGCAGTTTTGTTTTTTAAATTGTAAACTTTGAAATTAGATTGCCATTTCAATTACAACATCCGTGATTTCAGAAGGCTTGACCGGAATTATGCCAATAACCAGTAATTGTTCATTAGAGTGAACAGCCTACGGAGCCTATAAACGAAATTAACAGGGGTTAGTATTTTAGTATGGGTAATACTTAGAATAAATATTTATTTGTACCTAATTAAGTTTTACGATAAATAAATATTTTTGAATTTACAATTGATATTTTAAATTTATATTAAATAATTTGTATTGCAATATAATATTATGGTTGATTACTTGCATTTTTTTAAAATAATGAAATTAATTTTTTTTAGCATCTTGTGTATCTAGCGATCGAATCAGATAAAAGTATTGTATTTATCACTGATTCAATAATTTTTCACATACAATAAAAAAATATTTTGAATTCAGGTTTAAAAAATAAATAAGTAATTTAAAAATAAATATATGGATGAAAATATAAAGACAGTGGTTTGGGATGATTCGAAAGGAAATTTTAAGCTATTAAATTAGAAAGAAAGAAAAAACCCTTTTAATTCTCGTTCAAGATTCAAAATAACCTCTAGGAAATCTCTCGTTCTACACAAGAAGTTCAGTTTATAATTATGGATTAATTTTTTTCATTTGTCATACACATACATAAGCATGGTTTCGTACATTTTATAAGCATAAAATGATCATTTAATATGCATCAAGTTGACACACTATCATTGGCCCTTAAATCATTCCGTTCAAAATTACTTCAACTTAGCCAATAATTTCAAACTGTAAAGAATACAAATACATTAAATACTCAAAAGTGCGAATTTTATCATGTATATTAATCTTATTTAAATTACAAGCAAAATTGTTTGTAATAAAAAATAATATATTAAATACTCAAAGTATTTATCATTTATAATAATCTCATATAATTTAACCAAAATTAATGTTTGTTATAAAATATTTGTCGTCTATACAAAAAAAATGTACTAAATCCTTCAAATTAATCCTAATCAACTTTCATTTTTCAACACCTTTTTAACTTTCAGTCAAGTTTTCAACTAATTATGTGAAATATAGTTCTGTTTTATATTTTATTTTTACAACATAACAATCGGTGGGAGATACCGAAGACTCCATAGGCGATTATAAATTCCATGGCTTGCTAGCAAATCAAGCTTTCATTTCCTTGGTTTCATACTTTATTATTCCAAGGGAAGAGAAAGAAATTGAATAGAATAGCAACAACACGAACACGAGATTTTTTGTACAATGTAATTCAATAAGGATAATTCCCCGACTCCAAATCATAGCATACATTAGAATAAAAAGCTCGAGTTCAAAGGACAAATGAATAGGGTAGTGAAAATCCTAAATTACTTTTTCATATGCAGAGGTGTAAGTTCCACATCTTTCTATATTGGTGTACAGCATTACACATATCTTAATTAAAAATTCTTGGTACAAATATCAGCCTAATCTTGCTTCTCTTCGTAACACCTGGTAGATAGAAACCGAAAAGGAAACAATCAGTTTAGAATGTAGCTATCAGCATGCGTACACGTAACAAGTAAAATCAATGGCAGTAATACCTCTTCAGCAAATTTTATCAAAATTGTTGTCCGTGGTCGTTGTTGACCTTCCATGGGCACAAAATGCGCAGTTACAACAGCTGGAAATCCGGCACAGTCCAAAACGCCCTTCATTGATGAATGAAACAAAACAAAACCACTGGTTGGACCTTTCTCTAAGGAACAGATAACTAGTTGTCAGCAACTGAGCAACGCAAAAGTACTTACCCGTACTATTCCAGCAACAAAAGCTCCACAGTTGAACGTTCCCATGTCCTTTGGGATAGAAATGAATCTATAAAGCGGAGATGCATATAAGCTCACAACTAATTGATGAACAAAAACATACTATGTAACAGTCAAATAAAATGTCCAGACTGAAATTACTTGTTTACTAGAAGCTCCTTTTCACTGATCATGTATTCATCTTCATGTTCGGTTCCTTTCTCCAGTGAATCAGCTACCTAATAAAAGAAAAAAAAAACATTGAAACTGAAGGAGCTGAAGATAGTTGTCAACTTAACACATTCCAAGGGAAACGAGTATACGACATGATGCTACCAGAATAGAATATAAAGTGCTCGATTGTTAAAAACAAATAGTATTAATACTCAGTTGGGTTCAACTCACATCTCTTACACCATGGATTATGATTATAACTAGAAGATAAATGCCTAGGCGGGGTATTAGACGATTCTCACAGCTAATGCATTTTGTATGTGTTTCAGTCTCTAACACAAGATCAGCAAAGTAAACCATACATAAGAACTTTCAAAAGACACATGGGAAATCATAATATAGAACACACATTACTAAAATATACTGGTTGATCAAGAACGTGCATCAATGTATTGATGATTCTTTGCATAAACATGATGATGATCAACCCAACTCAATATGCTCTCAAACACCAAAGATCAGTTCAACGGGCATCCATGAGTAGTGGAATATCACAGTGACCAATAGAATATAAAATAAAACCACAATTTATTTGCTCAACATTTAAAGGGCCTTAGACTAGGCCGTGTGATAAACAGTTCTTCTCACATTCCAATTACCACATCAAGGTGTACCTTAAAGATTGCAGTGAAAACCCACACAAGCTTGCTACAGCCAACCATTACAAATTTCAAGAATGAACAATCAAAATGGCTAGAAAGTAGTCTATCTTATCATGTAATGTCCGATTCACCGCTAAGATAATCTTCTTTTCAAGATTGCAAGGGGAATATTTCTTCTCTCAGAAACAGAAATCCGCAGAACCTTTTTGCCAGTGTGGAAGGCTATGCATAACAGGATGACAAAGGCTCAAAACAAAAAAAATCTCATGTCTATAACCAAAGGATGTTTCATATCATGGTGTGACAAAACATTTATTTCACCTTTCCAAATATCAATAACATTCAGGTCACGAAGGAACAAAAGCATAGTTTGATAAAGGGGCTCACCTTTCCAAATAATACTTTCCACACTGTACTGTGTACAAAAGAAAGAATACCCAACAGCCGTGTCTCCCTCCTGTTTCCCTGTAGTTTAAGAATAACTATACATCAATCATGCTAACCTCACGCAAAAATATATATATATATATACAGATACATCCCACCCTCATGACCAAATTTAAATCAATTAGGGTCAATTGTCAATATACACAAACAATCAACTTGCTAAATAAACAAGCAAACATACAAGCCTCTCTTTGAAACACGATATCAAATGGACAAAACAAATTGACAGAACAAAGGATGCGGATGGATTCCCTCACTTAAGAGATAGAAGGTTAACAGGCCAAAAGTGTGGATGAGTCTGTTTGTTACAGAGAGAATAGAAATGGCATCTACTAGTCTAGGCGCAATTAGGAGTTGTTAATTATAATAATGGATGGTTGGATTGCACCGATACTGATAAGACTTCATTTTTCTTAGTAACAAATTGTCATTTCCAAATAATCGTAATCAAGAAGAATATAAGATTATAAATGGTTAGAAAATTGCCACAGGCTCAGAAATCACATGGGATGATCTGAACCCAAGTCTTTTATCTTCTGCTCCTCCCTTCATTTGTTTGATAAAATTATCGAACCCAAGTGATAGGTCATATTGCTTACAACTTACAATTCCAAGAGTCAAGCAAAAGCTCCTGGATCGAAATGTAACATCGACGCATAGTTTTATGCCATTCAAAATGATAAATCATTCAAAAAGAATAAACTGCTGGGTTGCCTAAACTATAGTCAAGTATAGCATCCCCTCTTATGAGGGTAAAGGATTACCTAACTTGATTTCCATGATATCTAATCTCGGTTATGATAAACAAAGAAAACGGTAACATGAATTTGTGACAGAAACCATACCTTATCTCTGTGGCAAAGCAGCTCAAGAACTCGAGCCCCAACCGCATATCCAGCATCCTCCAGTCTGGTAGATTTACATTGTTAAATGCTAAACTAATAAACTCATTCGCGTCAATTTAAATATATACATCTTTACATTACAATAGTAAAGCATCACGAAAATAGTGTTTTCAAGCCAAATGAATCTAGAATTTATATCTCTTCAAGCTTCTTAAGTTTCAAACAAAGTACGAAAGCACTATTGAATTGTAACTAAAATGTCAGATTAAGTCTTTACTGTCCTAGATCCAGGGAAGCAAAACAAATCAACCTTGACGAGAAGTACCTACTTTTTATCACATGATTTCCCAATTTAAAACCTACGCAGAAAATAAAAACAAAAACAATCAGCGATTCGCTTAATTCAAAATGCAATGGATAGTAACCTTCGTTCGAGTTCCCCAATATTGTCGACCTGCGTTTGGTTGTACTGAACAAGCTCCGAAAACAAGAACGCGAATGCACTCAAACTAACCTGCAACAGCACATCAAATCAGCCATGGAATTGGAAGCATGGAATCAAAGTGACGAATAACGCGAGATCTGGGTCGTTGATTTTGATGAAGTGGTTGAAAGGGGAAGAGAAGAGAGAGAGAGGCGTAGAGAAAGGGACCTCTTGCTTGCCCTTGGTGAGGGGCTTGTCGAGGACGTTACCGTACTGCTTGATCTTTCCGGCGCCGATCATCTTCTTCTTGCTTCTCTTTCTTAGGTTAACGCAGATTTGCCTATTCGATCATTTTCGCTATATGCTATATTCAACATTTTAAAATTTGAAAAAATACCATGAGTTATTACAAACAAATTTATTTTTCATGTACCCTTTTCAAATAGAATTAATTAAAACATATTGATAATGAAAAATTACAAAAATAACACCAAAAATTAATAAAACAATTTCATTATTTTGGAATGAGAGTTATTTATAATTTTATATTGTGCTTAATAATGAATTATTTCAGAAAATAGTTTTCTCTCCAAATCTTCTCAATGAGTCAATAAGACAAATAAATAAATATGATTACAAAAATGTCCTTGATCATCAAACATGCATTATGATATGTATGAAGTTATTTCAATTTAATTATATATATATATATATATATATATATATAATATTGAGATTTGATTTTGAGTTAATTCTATTTATAAGTGTATACTGGATGAATTTTACTTGACAAAATTTAAAGTTTATTATCTTTATATTATAGGTGTTTGTTTAAATGTTCCAATCAAAAATAATTTATTTATTTTTAAATCGATAAAGATTACATGTAGTCGTATTCATGTTGTTGAATATAGAGGAAATAAGGTTTTGAAATTAATCTCCCTTGTGTATAAATCACACGTACGGTAATCTAGTTATAATAGAGAGGTACAACTAAAAGAGTAACCGAAAGTAAACAGAATAAATAGAAGATATTGTTTGATATTGTGGTTAATAATATCTTAACAATATCAAACTATATCTAAAAAATATCTAACACTCTTCCTAAGCTGGAGCATACAAATCGTATGTGTCAAGCTTGTTACAAATATAATCAATTCTAGACCCCCCGTAAAGACTTAGTAAAAATATCTGCTAATTGATCATTTGAGTTAACAAACTCAATCTTGATATCTCCAGACATAATATTTTCTCGAATGAAATGACAGTCAATCTCAATGTGTTTGGTCCTCTCATGAAAGACAGAATTAGAACTAATATGAATAGCAGTCTGATTGTCACACACAAGTGTCATTTGAGTGACATCTCCAAATTGTAACTCTCTAAGCAATTGTTTGAGCCAAACAAGTTCACAGGCAGCTGAGGTCATAACTCTATATTCTGCTTTTGCACTGGATCTTGCCACAACACTTTGTTTCTTACTTTTCCATCAGATCAAGTTACCACCAATGGAGACACAATATCCAGATATAGATCTTCTATCCGAAGGAGATCCTGCTCAATCAGCATCTGAGTAGCAAACAACTCTTGTATGGTTATTAGAACCATATAACAATCATTTTCCAAGAGATCCTTTAATATACTTCAAGATACGAATGACTGCATTCCAATGATCTTCACATGGTGAATTAAGAAATTGACTTACCACACTGACTGCAAAGGAAATGTCAGGACGAGTAACTGTAAGATAATTCAATTTTCCAACCAATCTTCTATACTGCTCAGGATCAAATATAGACTCCTCCTGATTTGGTAGATCTTTAGTATTGGGATCCATGGGTGTATCAACAGACTTTGAACTCATCAACCCAGTTTTCTCCAAAATATTTATGGCATATTTCCTCTGAGATATAACAATACCATCATTGGACTGTGCCACCTCAATACCCAAGAAATATCTAAGTTTGTCAAGATCTTTGGTCTGAAAATGGTGACAGAGATGTTGTTTCAACTGAGAGATGTCATGGTTGTCACTACTTGTAAGAACGATGTCATCAATATATACTATCAAGTAAACACATCTAGCACTCGAGTGTTGATAAAAGACAGAATGATCTACTTCACATCGAGTCATACCAAATTGTTGAACAACCTTGCTAAATTTTTCAAACCAAGCCCTAGGAGACTGTTTTAGGCCATATAGGGATTTGCGAAGACGACATACCATCCTAGAAGACTCCCCCTGAGCAACAAACCCAGGAGGTTGCTCCATATATATTTCTTCTTACAAATCATCATTGAAGAAAGCATTTATAACATCCAGTTGATAAAAAGAGGTCATTGTTGAAGAGCAGCCATGGCGATAAATAAACGAATAGAAGCCATCTTTGCCACAGGGGAAAAAGTGTCTCCATAATCCAACCAAAAAATTTGAGTATAACATTTGGCCACAAGACGAGTTTTGAGGCGATCAATAGTACCATCAGGTCCAACTTTGATAGCAAACACCCACAACAGATTTATCAGATGGTAACAGTACCAATTCCCAAGTTCCACTATTATGAATAGCACTTAGTTCATCTAACATGGCCTGACGCCAACCAGGATAGGCTAAAGCTTCACGGACAGTTTTTTGAATGGTCATAGAAGAAATAGAGGAAAGACATGTATAAAAAGGTAATGACAATCGATGATAACTCAAAGCAATATAATGGGGAGAGGGATTACGTGTAGAACGAATACCTTTTCGGAGGACAATGGGAATGTCAGACTCACGTGTCAGATCCGGAGGAGACAGAATAGTTGACACTTGAGTAGAGTCACATGGTGGTGGTTGTGATTGATTTCGAGAACTATAAATCTGAAGAGGCAGTGGAGAAAAAGCTGACTGCAGAGCAGGAACTAATGGTGAAGAAGACACAGTTAGAGGGTCACAAACAATAGGAATATTAAATGTATTAGGAGTGTTGACAAGATTGGATGGAGACAGAGGTGAAGATTGACTTTTAAAATAAAGAGACAACTCATCAAAGGTGACATCTTTTAACACAAAATAACGGTTAAGAGAAGGAGAAAAACATTTGTATCCTTTTTGTGATCTTGTAAACCCTAAGAAAACACATTTATGTGATCTAGGAGAAAGCTTGTCAAGAACAGAACTGAAATTATGAACAAAACATGTAAACTCGAAAACTCTCAGAGGTAAAGGATGAAGTGGTTCATGAGAGAATAAAATGGAATGAGGTATTTTATTATCTAAAATCGAATAAGGCATGCGATTAATGAGATAACTTGCAGTAAGAAGAACATCACCCCAAAAATGTTGAGGAACATCTCCATGAATTAAAAGTGTGCGAGTTGTTTCAATAAGATGTATATTTTTACGTTCAGCTACATCATTTTGTTGAGGTGTATAAGCACAAGAAGTTTGAAGTAAAATACCGTGAGAAGCCATGAATTGTTTAAAATAATGAGAAAGATATTCACGGTCATTATCACTACGCAAAACTCTAATAGAAACACCGAACTGAGTTTGAATTTCATTAAAAAAAGTTTGAAAGATATGAAATAATTCAGAACGATTTTTCAACAAAAATAACCAAGTGCATCTGAAATAATCATCAATGAAAGTAACAAAGTATTGAAAACCTAAAGTAGACTTAACGCGGCTATGTCCCAAAATGTCAGAGTGAACCACAACAAAAAGGGACGAAGCACCACGTGTGAAACTATGAGGAAAGGAAGTACGACTATGCTTGCCTAATTGACATGACTCATACGCCAAACTAGATAAGTTGGACAAGGCAGGGACAAGTTTCTGTAACTTGGCAAAACTTGGATGACCTAACTGAGCATGAAGAAGAGATGGAGACTCCATAACTGTACTAACATGTGTAGAGGGACAAAGATAATAAAGACCATGAGACTCACATCCTGTGACAATCACCTGTTTCGAACTCCAGTCCTGTAAATACACATAATTGTTGGTAAAAGTAACAACACAATCAAGATAACAAGTTAAACGACTGATGAACAACAGGTTAAAAGGAGACCCAGGGACATAAAGAACATTATCAATGATTAAAGAAGGAAAAAGTTTAACCGTTCAAACACCATGAGATGATACTTTAGAGCTATCAGCCAGTGTAACAGAAGGTAAATGATTAGGAGAGGATAAAGAGGAGAACAAAGATTTGGTACCAGTAACATGATCAGGCTCCTGAATCAAAAACCCAAGGACCAGGAGAAAATGATTGGGTCAGACCAACAAAATATGTATTTTTATGTGTGACAGATATAGTGGAACTAGAAGATTGTTGATCCTTATACCATTCGAGAAATTTGTTGAACATAGCAGGCATGTCGGATGCAACAAAAGAAGGAGGATCCCCAGCAGATAAAGGTGGGGAAAAATTGGTCTGAACAACTGCAGCAGATTGAGGAGGACGGTCATGTAATGTATAACACTTGTTAATCTTGTGACCTAGCTTGTCACAATGTTCACACTTAGGACGCTATTTTCCCTGTTCGCGAGGGTGAGTCCGATCATCATGATGGGATGTCAACACAAAAGAATCGTTAACAAAATTGGAAATAGTAGAAGAAGTGGAAGAAGTCATGAAGAGCGGGAGAACAAACCCTAAAACAATCCAAAATAATCCAATTAACCCATGAAGCACAAATCCAAAATGAGAATACTAAAAATAAGTTCGCCAAGACTAAACGGCGCAGGAGACAACGGGACGAGCAACTCCGATAGTGGTGATCTCAACGGCACGATGGTCACCTGACCGAGACAAGCAAAATCATATGTCACCGGTAAAAAAAAAAAGAAACTCCGGCAAATTCTCCGGCAGCGGCAGATCCGGTGACTGCTCCAGCGACAGCGGTGACAGCAACGTGAACCAGTACACCAAGTAAGTTCCCAAGAGAGAGGTGAGTCACTAATGGACACACTTAAATACCAAGTCTTTCCTTACCAGAACTTTCTTAGACTTGCACTTTCACACTACCAAATAAAATTCAGTAACAGATAATTTCTTTCTAATGTGGAGGATCAATTTACCAGCAGCGGTGGGGCGGCTCCAGCAGCGGTGGGGCGGCTCCAGTAGTGGACAAAAGGCGAAAAAAAAAATTCAAGATAACCTTAAGCTCTGATACCATGTTGAATATAGAGGAAATAGGGTTTTGAAATTAATCTCCCTTATGTATAAATCACACGTAGTGTAATCTATTTATAATAGAGAGATCCAACTAAAAGAGTAACCGAAAATAATCAGAAGATATTGTGGTTAACAATATCTTAACAATATCAAACTATATCTAAACAATATCTACCACATGTCAATACCTAAATAGAAATTAAGTGTATTCAACCTTATATTTTTGAGAAATTTGTTAATTGTGAAAATTATAAAATTATATTTGTCAATGAGTAATTTATTTTATATTATTATTTTATCCAAGATTACAAAATATTTTAAAAATAATAATATTAGGTATAATAGTGTCAAACTTTTATTTATAATTTGCTCTAATAAATAATAATAATAATAATAATAATAATAATAATATCCTAAATGTAAATATTTTTATAGCCTAATTATAAACTAACATAACTTTATTAAAACATCATTATAATTTATTGAGAAGTGATATACAAATAATTGTGGTTGACAATTGTTTGTCTTAAATCCTCTAAAGTGCCTTAAAATATATAGAGTTGTTTCTTGATTGCCATGTTTGGAATTCATGACTGGATATATCAGTGAGGACTATAATTGTTTCCTTGGTAGTACGTGAAAACTACCCTAACTTTATATACTTTCTTCTATTTTTACCCAATAAATAACACTTTGTTTTGGCAACCGATAATACTTCTATCGCTCTAATCAATATTTTATATACCATTGCAATTGTGACTTCGACCTGTTTACTCATTTTATTTTTTTGAAAACTATCAGATCATATATTTTATTTTAATAGTCATACGAGATATAAACAAATTTAATACACCTTTTGAGTACAATACAGTCTCATATTATATTACAAAAAATTATTAAATTTCACATAATCAAATTTTAAGAAGAATTTTACATCAAATTTTATATTAAAAATTCTGTCAGATATTTAATTTCATAATATATTATTATTATAATAAGGTTGAGAATTCAATCTTGATCCATAAAAAATAGTTATAACACGTATTTATACTTGCCCCTATATTACCCATTATTTGCATGTTTTTCTTCATTTATTTGTATATATTTCTCTGGGTTTATTTCACTATTTGAGAAAACTCACTTTTTTATTTATACTTCTCCTTGTGTTTTATATTTATTTTCACCTATTTTATTCATACAATAGTATGAGTGAAATTTCTGTTCAATACTAATTTTGTATGCAAATAAACGGTATATTATTGAATTGAAATCAAACGCGTATTTAATTAATGTTATTTATAAAAAATAATATTTATATTATGAAATTTCATCACAGGAATTTAATGTTCTTACAGTATTTCCTAAAAAAAAATCATTTTAGAAGAAAAATAATTAATCAATTATTAATTAAAAACAACATTTAGGTCTTCTAATTTTGATGGTCTGATTGAGTTGTTGGCCATGATGGACCATGACAATGAGACAGAAAAATAGAAAAGGAAAAAAAGAAAAAAAGAAACAGAGTTAGTGGATTCTACCAAACGAATAAAAAAGTGTTAATGGAGACAGCAAGGATATTTGTATCCTCATTCTTAATATTTATTAATATTTCTGTCTGTTCTTATTTATAACTCTTAAATTAAAAATTACGTTTTTTCAAAGACTTGGTCCATAGTATTATTTGTATTATTAAAACTAAGATATTGTTAATTAAAAAGGACAAACTACATTAAAGAACAATTAAAAAAAGAGAAAAATATTGATAATAAAGGGAGTTTTTTTATTTTTTTAAATATAAATTTATTATTTTAAACTGAATTATTTGTTTTTAAAATTATAATTATTACCTGCAATAAAAATCTATTCATTTTATCTCTGCAATGGATTTTCATTATGATGACCAGATATGATCTGTTATCAATTAATATATATTGAATGACATTCATATTCCCGAGTTCTATAACCTGAGTTGTGTCTCAACTTTCACTTCTTGTTCTTCTTATTCCCCTTTCGCCCTCAAAATTTCTCAGTCTATCTTTATCTTCAACTTTTCAGTTCAAAGCTTCAGATCACAACCGATCCACCATTCACCACTTTCTCTCCGCAAGGTATGCTGAAAATGGAATACCCACTTTGACTACGCCAACTCTATACTATTTCATTTCTCTCAACTAAACCAAACAAGTTCATTCGTACGAGGATGTTTGTTTAAGCTTCCAAATTTCTGTTTTTTTTATTTTTAACTGTTTGGTGGTACTTCTTTGTGCACATTATCGTTAATGTTTTTTGGTTGATATGAGTAGCTCAAGTTATTTTGGTAGGCAAATCTAACAAGAAAGGTAATCTCTGAAGCCGATCCAGTGCTTTGTGAATTTGGAATTGGTGGTGAATTTAGATCTAAAAGCCACAAACAATGTCTTTTATCGGTACCCAGCAAAAGTGCAAGGCTTGTGAGAAAACAGTTTATCCCGTTGATCAGCTTTCTGCTGATGGCACTGCTTATCACAAAGCTTGCTTCAGGTGCTCCCATTGCAAAGGAACATTAAAGGTACTTTTTTTTGTTGTTATTACTACTTTTAATTTGTTTGTCTGTTTGTTTCGTTAGCTGCATTATTTATTTGATGACTTATTAATACTGTTGTTTATTTCATTTGCTAAATTCTGCTAAAGATTTTTTATTTTGTTTAACGCTGCCTTGCATCCATGTAAATTTCCATGTGAATTTTTGCTGGTCGATGAAAAGATAGTGTGAGTTTATCATTTGATCAGAAAAAGAAATGGGACAACACCCTTATTCTTTTTTAGAATTTGATCAAATTAAGAATTTATGGAGTGTAAAATCTTCACTTGGTTTTTGTAATGACACAGATCTGCATCTTTTATTTCATGTCTGATTAAATAAACTTTTCCATAAATTTTTATAAGTGACAAAAAAAAAAACGAAGGAAAAATGTATTCATCGGTTCCTATAAGTTAAAATCAAACTTATTCACCTTAACCGGAGGAAGCAATTATATGATGAAACTTCTATAAAAGTAAGTGCTTAAGTTGATTTTAACGTATGGGAGAAACTCAGTTCATTTTAACATCTTATTTTCTTTTCCTATTAGTGTTTATGAAGTTTATTCAAACTGGATCTTAATAATGTTGGACATTAATTGACTTAGAGTTTGTTTATTTGATTTTAAATTGTTAATGATCTTTTTGTTTCAGCTGAGCAACTACTCCTCAATGGAAGGTGTTCTTTACTGTAAGCCTCACTACGAGCAGCTCTTCAAGGAGACTGGGACCTTCAGCAAGAACTTCCAGTCACGTATGTTTTGTTCTTTTTGTTTTTGAGGATGAAGCTGTGTTTGTGTGATTTTTGAATCAGATGCCTTTTTATAATTGGCCATATTTTCATTTTGAACAGCTGCAAAGCTAGCAGATAAGACAACTCCTGAGCTGGTAAAATGCTTTATTTTGCAATTTTCAAACTTCATTGTTTGTGACAAATAGGTCTATGGCATTTCGTATTATTGAACAACTATTGGCTTCTTTTGTTTGTTGCAGACAAGGTCGCCTAGTAAAGCTGCGAGCATGTTTTCTGGCACACAAGAAAAGTGTGCTACGTGTGGGAAAACTGCTTATCCATTGGAGAGGGTAGGATTCAAAAATCTCAGAAACAAAATACTTGACGATGTTCATTATTCATTATAAAATTACAAAATAGTTTTGTTACAAATTGGGCCTATGGATATTGAAGTAGTCTCATATTGAGTAGAATAAACTATTTAATGTCGTTCTCAAGCCTTGAAACTCTTCTACTTAATGAACTAGTCTTTTGGGTTTGAACTCCCCTTTTGGTCTTGTAATCTTGATTCTGTGAAATCAGTGTGTTACTGCCTCAAAGGTATGTTGTGCAGAATAAGAGTTCAAACTTTATTTTCTGTTGGACCACAGGTACTATATGGCTTCTATATCTTTTGAGAGAGATACGTGTGTGGAGATAATAAATCATACTTTATTTCTGTGCGTAAGGTGATGAAACCTATATTCTGATTTAGTTCATAATTCTACTGGTCAAGGAAGCAAAATTGCATTTGCTTGTAAATAAACTCTAGAGCTTCTTCCTCCACCCACAAGTAATTCTTAAAAAAAATTCCATCTAATGAAATGCTGGCTGATAGTGTTTGTGGTAGCTAGAGTATCCATTTTTTCTTATTTTTTGTCAATAGGAGGGGAGAGTAGATTAGCATTTGTTTTGGAAACAATTTTCAAACTTCATAGATTTTGAATGACAAATTGATTGCCAAGTCGTGTGACAATGTTTTGGAAAACAGTTTTAAAACCAAAAGGTAAGAAGGGAATCAAACATGACCTTTGTTACCCAATTAAATCCATCCTGGGGGTAGCTCTCTAAGAAAACTTGTGTCTCATTGACCATTTAGATCCTATTTAGATAAATTTCTTCATAAATACTTAAAAGAAAAGGAAAATGAGAGTTTTGACTTGAGAGGGCTAACTCTGCTGGAATGAAAGCGGATAGTATATAACCAAACTGAAGAATCCCCGACTTTGTTTGTCAATAATTTCTTGAATGAGTAACATGTAAATGTAATTATTGTAAGACTGCTGTTCTTCCTTTAACCAGACTTAGAACTTCATCTTGTTTATAAATATGTATATCTTTTTCTTTGATTGTAGGTAACAGTGGAAGGACAGTCCTATCACAAATCATGTTTCAAGTGTTCACATGGTGGTTGTCCCATAACCCCATCGAATTATGCAGCCCTTGAGGGCATTTTGTATTGCAAGCACCATTTCTCCCAGCTTTTTAAGGAGAAAGGGAGCTATAATCATCTGACAAAGTCTGCATCAATCAAACGGGCAGCAGCAGCAGCAGCTGCACCCACTGTTCCTGAATCTTGAATGTGGTTCCTCCTTCTATTGCCTTTTCTTTACAAATACATTTTGGTCTATCAAGCAAGTGTTTGTATGTGTGGCCCTTTTTGTTTTGATTGTTCTCTCGTGACTTCATTTCTGATATTTTTACTTACACATGCGTGGCGTGCAAATCTTGTGTGCTTTATTTAGACAATGGACATTCGGTAATGGCTAATGAGTGCGTGATTTGCGAGAGATATATCATTCCAATTTTATGATATTGCTATCTTATAGTTTATATTTATATTCTTAATGCAATTTTACAAGATTGAGTCTTATAGTTTATATTCTTATAGATTGTTTAGATGTGAAATTTGAAATAAATAAGAACGAAGATCATAATATTAAGAGTTAATACAATTACTTAAAAAGTTTGCATCAATCAAACTTGATCGGATTGTTTAAGATTATCCAATGATCTCAAGTTAAAGGCCTAGTCTTGTAAGAAACCTCTACTACTCAAATCTGAATATAGTGAAAGTCTTAAATTTAAGTCTTAGAAATAAAAATATTAACTTATAAACCTTAAATTAACTTATAACCCTGACAAGATCTCGTGATAGATTTTTATAAAATAGTTGCATTATATATGCTCTTAGAATTAACTTAGTTATTTGAATATATTGATGTTTTAAAGCTAATTTATCATGCCATATTTTGTTAATTTTTATTTCTATAATTCATTACTTCATGTTATTTGTTATTATTAGTTTTAATATATTTTTAATTATTATTTCCTTCAACTTTCAATTTTTAAAATTGTTTTGCAATAATATTAAAATATTTTTAAAATTGTTTTGCAATAATATTAAAATATATTATTTTATAACGAATTAGTAAATACATACAATTAGAGTACATATTAGACATAAATCTTAATTTTAATACATATACTTTTCAGTTTCAAAATTTTCTAAAATTGCAAAATAAAAAACAAATTAGAAATACATTATTTGTAATTAAAAATATATGTTTATATGATATTAGTACATATAATAGTGCTTTACTTTTTAATCTCATTCTTATAAGTTTAATGATAAAGTTAAACTATTAAGTTAATTTGGTTTATCCAATTAATAATTAATAATCCATGTCAATAAATAATTGATGGGATAAGAAGTTAAGTAATAAAAATTGTCGTGTTACATTTTAATAGAAACTTTTTAACTAACATATAATTTAATTTTATATATTCATTTTACTTTATGCTCTTAGAAATGTTTATAAAAAAAATCATCTGAATAAAGAATAATATTATATTTTCAACATTTCAATTTTTATTTTTGATATTCATAGTTTTTATACATTTGTAAAATAGTTATATTTTAAAAGAAAATAAATTTTAATTAATTTACAATTTTTTTGACGGTCTAATTTGTAAATTTATCATCTTCTAATATTATTAATTAATGTTTTAATGAAAAGAAAAAATTGAACAGTATAGAAATGATTAATATATCGTCTAGCCTGTTACGATGTCGTTTCTAGAAAACCGCCGGTGTAGCCGTTAGTGGCAGAATCAAAACCCTATCACTACCAAATGTCGGAAGCGCCACCACCTTCTCCGCTCCGAGACCTTCTTCTCCGTTTATCGACCCGAATCTCAGAGTCTTTGGCCACCGTCCCCTACACTCCACACCGAGCCTCCAACGTCTCCGTCAAAGCCTTTCTGGAACCCCTCCTTCTACCCACAGCCACGGTCAAAGACTTTGCTCTCGCGTGCGCTCTTCTTTCCTCTTCCGCTTTTGACTCTTCCGGCATTCTCTCATGGGTCCCCAGCCACCTCTCCTCTCTTGCAACTTCGTCCTTATCCGAGCTCTCCAGTGGGTATCAGGCTGAGCTCCGCGACGGAAATGACTACCTTGTTGTTCTTCCGGAGAAGAGGTTGGTGCTGGAACTGATGCCCGAGGTTTTGCCCCTTTTGAAAGAGAGGATTCAGGAGAGCTCCATCAATAAGTCCGATGAGAGCGACGAGTTCTCCGCGGCATCGGCGAGAGCCCCCGTTGGGTTCGCCATTCTCGCTGCTTTTCAGTTTAGATGGTTTCTTACACAGGTTAGGTAGTCGTCTGCTACTAGGGTTTTGGTACTTTGATTTTGTGTTAGGACAATAAATGAAGATGACAATTTAATAGTTAAATTTTGTATTGTTAGTATAAAATATATATTACATTTCCAACTAATTAGAAATTTCGTGGGAATGCCTTCTAAAGTAGTTAACTGGTTACTGTAAAAGTCAATCAATTATGAGGTTGTGATTGGATGGTGTGTAAAAAGAGAACTTATACTGTGGATGGATGCATTATTTACTCACAACATGAAGTTTGATCGTGTTATTTGCCCGTCTTAGAAATTAAGATAATAATTGGATTCTGACAGGTTGATTATCCCCATTTGGGTAAATTGTGTGGATTGGTGATTCCTTGTGCACTGACTGCTGTTGATCATTGGTCCGCTGTAGTGAAGGTATGTGTTGTGCTGTAATTGCTACTAAATCTAGTGTTGTTTGATTTGTGATTGTATTGAAACTTAGGAATTGTATGGATGGAAGGGACTGGAATCTTGAAATAGTTAGGTCAGTTTGTGGGAGTGAGTTTTGCTCTCTCGTGTAATTTCAGGGACAGGGCATGATTATCCTCGCACATGTTGGGAAAAATGTGGATGCTGCTGAGCTTGGTGGGTACGTGGACGTGATTCTAGATGCCTGCTGCCAGAACACGGCTTCTGATGATGAGATATGGCATCATGTGGTTGAGGCGTCAGTAGTTCTTGTGACTCTTACTCAGAGAAGTAATCCCCGCAGTCCATGGTATATTCAACCATTTCCTTTCAATTTTTTCAATTTGTAGATGTTGTAGCTTCTTGGGAACTTTTTTAAGATTTTCACATGCTGAATGCTGTAGGGAATTCTGGCATTCAAACGATTACCTAACTGAATAAGCAGGAAATAGATATTACAAAGCCATGTCCTGCATTTTTATGCAGTCAAAAAATGCAGTTGGTTCTTGACTATTGTACAGACTTACTTGAAACATAGTTTTCACTTTTCAAAAATATGGAATATTGTAGTACCCAATGATTATAGTCAGTCAGTATTGATACTTTCATTTAATTAACATGTAGCAAATTACATACCTCTGTTTTTAGAGCAAAGTTTTGACCTGTAATGGATAAAGGGGGCATAATTTTTTATTTTTATTTTATACAAACTTTTACTATGTTTGGTAAGTGATCTTAATCGCATGAAGTAGAGAGTGAATGGATATAATGCTAATGGGACTGTTATGTGCAAGTGCAACTAGTGAAGAATTTTTATTTAGTACTTGTGAGCGTGTTATTTATTTTGGAGAAAGTTGTATAACTTCCCCATAGCCCATACTGATATATTTCAGCTAGTTTCCTCAATCTCTAAGGAGCTGGAATCCTTTTGTTTAAACTCTTGGCTCTTTGAAGCATATATTGCATCTTGATTTCAACATATCATTATCTTGAATAGGTTTGAAAGGATGCTAAATGAGATGATAAGTCATTTGGAGCGCCAGCCCAGAAACAAAGACCGTCGCATCGCATGGCTTAAATCTGCTGATTCACTATTTAATGGAGTTGGTCTTGTGCTTTTAGCTCACTTCAAGCGCATTTTCCCATTATTTTTTCAGTGGATGCATGCTGATGACAATGAGACTATTATTTTGGTAAGCACCTTTATATGTATTGAAACTTTGGATGACACTTTTAAAAGTTTATCTTATTGAACCAAAATCATTGGTTGTAACCTGCACTGTTGGAATAGATGTATGTTCAGTATGGTTGAATTGTTTTAACTTGGAAAAGGTTTTGACCTTGGCTTTCTTTTTACTTTGTATGGTTTTGACATTATATATACTACTTTGTTCTTTTAGTATTGGGTAAAAAGAGGGAAAAAAAAAGTAATATCTGATTACTCTTTGATATTTTTTCATTCTGCAGGTTCTAAAATCTACATACATAATTTTGAGACTAACGTGGATAAGGAACTCACCATTTATTGCAAAGTAAGTTGAAAAAATTATCCTATGAAATTTTTGTTTCAGATAAATGTGGCATTGATGTACTTGAGAAATAGGGATTAACTTCTGTAGCACTCGAGCATATCTTTTACTTGTTCTGTGTCTTCATCCTTATTATAATCACAACATTATTATGTAATCATCTGATGTAAAGACTGTATTGATTTAATCTTATGATTAATTTGTTTCCTTTGCTATGGTATGGAGTCTGTAAGTTCCCTTTCATTTTATGATGTTTACAAAAACAGCGGGTCAAGAAAGGGAATGAATAAGCGTGTAAGAAGACGAGGCCATGGCTTACTGATGTTCCTGTATGATGTTTCTTCCATCAAGGAATGATGTATCTTACCTATTTTTCAATTGTGATCGTCTTGATCTCCAATTCTAATGAAGGGATGCCTTAGGACCTAATTTTACTGTAGCCATCCATTGATATACTAGAGATTTAGACTGCATCTGCATTCCTTTTCTTCCTAACCCATTTTAGGAGAATTTTGGAGTACCTGAAATTAATCATGGTTTTCCACTAAGTGGCGGAATCCTGGGTCAATCAGTTCATGGATATAATCATCTTTATTTCTTATTCTGTATGTGCCTTGTTAATATAACTCATTTCCAGCACATAATCTCATTTTCACTTCAGATTGGTAGCTGAACTGGCCCTTGTGTATAAGGAGGCAGCGTTAAGAACAGCTCGGGAAGATATTAGAGCAAATATATATCAGATACTGATCCTACTTCAAGAGTAAGGCCTTATTTTTGGATGAATTTCTTTCTACGAGTGATATATTCGTTTCCTGATTTAGTTCATATCGTTTGTGTGTACCCAGAAGCAAAGGCCTGCAATTTAATGCGGCTTGGGACAAGCATCGGTCCGATCCAGACTTGACCACTCTTACTCTGTCATTAACTGGAAGAAGTAATACTAAGACTGTACCTTCAGAGGATTGTCTTCGGCAGGGTTCGGTATCCGTTGGTTCAATGATAAGTTGATAGCATTTCTGATTAGTTCAATGTACCACAATTTGTATTGATATATAGGTACATGTAATTGAAAAGTAAAAATATTGGTAGCGAGAGTAACAAATATACAAAGTTTAATTTTGTTTAATATTCTTCGAATCCATTTTTTACTATTCTCCACTTCAAAATATCTCAGAAATGATATATTAAGGAAATTCACGATACCTAAGAATTTGTCGATGGGCAAAAATACGAATTTTATCGTATTAAACGAATGTAAATAGTGTTAAACAATAGTTGTGCAAATATCCAATTTTACGACTATTGTTCTTCGGAAAAATATCCACTGCAGTTTTTCCAGAACTGCATGAAATTTCGTCCCTTAATTAATATTTAACAAAATTGATATATAAAGTGTATATGAATGGTGGGATTTATAAACCTGACTCTTTCCTGGAAAAGTTGACAGAAAGTACTCTTACCAATTGTACCACACGTAAGTTGCCTGCTGGGTTCTTTCCAGCCTAGAGCCCAACCATGATATGTATTCTTGTATGATTCACCTTATAATTATTATTATAAAAAGATCTAAGTAATGTGCTACTCAATGTGAATGACCACCCTGGAAAAACTGTCCTAATACGCGTAAACTGATCTGAATATCGCAGTCTTGTAGTATTTTATTCTGTTTGTCTTGTGCTTTGTTGGATATCTGTAATCAAACATGTGAGGATGGAGTTAACAGGTCGACAGAAAAAGTAAGAGGATGCAACATGAAGAATGTGCTTGAATTAACTTTGTGATAAGAAATAATCAATTAATATTTTTTGTGGTCTCATTCTTTTAGCTCAGCTTCAGTCGCCTTTTCCAGTTATTTCTTCTGTGGACTTATTATGCTCATGACAATGATGCTACTATTATTTTGGTGAGTACCTTTATATAATGGAAACTTTGAACTACACTTTTTAAAGTTTATCGAACTGAACTAAAATCATTGGCTGTAACCTGCAGTGTTGAAATAGATGTACACTCAATATAGTTGCAATTGTTTAAGCTGGAAGAGGTTTTAGCATTGACTGTCCTTTCTTTTTATACAGTTTTTGACATTGATGAGAGCATTTATACAACTTCGTTCAGTATTTGATAAAAAGAAGAAAAAAAAGGTAATCCTGATTACCTCTTCGAATTGTTTTGTGCAGGTAAGGTATAAGGAACTCCCCGTATGTTGCTAGGTGAGTAAAGAAATTACAGCATGTGCAAATAAAAATGAAAAACCTTGGAGCATGAGGAATTAATATGTAAAGATTGTTTTATATTCTTTGAATTCATTTGTTACTATTTTCTGGTTCAAAATAGCTCATATTAAAGAAATTGGAAGATGGGCAAAAATATGAATTCTATCATTAATAAACGAATGTAAATAGTGTTGAACAATATAAGTGTAGATATCCAATTTTACAACTCTTTTTACTCCAATAATAAATGACAAAAAGTACTCGATAATCCCAACATAGGTAAAGTAGAGAGACGTCAGTCACTTATTGCAACTTTTGTTTTGTAGGCCATTTCTGCAATCGCTAATACAATGAGGAATCCTTTCATGAAGCCTGGCGTGTGGGTAAAAAAAATTATATTAGAGTCAGAAAACTCTGGATTCTGATCACTAGCATGCTAAACAAATTTGCCTCCTGAAATCGTGAGGTTGCCTGTGAAGTAAAAACTATATGTTGTAGAGTATAACTAAAGGTTGTCTGTTCAATGCTGGCTGAACATGATGATGATGATGATGTATTAGTATCACTTGCTTCGCTTTTTGGCTTCACTATAGAGTATAACTCCAAAGACCGTGAGTGAGTAACCCATCATTCCAGTGACTGAAACTGGGTTTCTGAATATTAGAATTGAAACTACTACTGCTACAGCACCTTTCGCATTTCCTAGTACCTGTATGAGGCCAACTCTTAGAATATCAATTGAATTGAATTTAAGAATAGTGATCAGAAATTAAACAAAAAAAAAGACACTCAAACAAAGATCAAAATCAGACTGAAAGGCAAACATAACAAAACAATTCGTCTACCTACATTTTAATCACACAGGTTTCATTAATCCAAATACATTCAGTGATATACAAATACTCACGAGGGGAAAGCCGTATCCCATTAGGAGAAGAGGGAAAACAAAAATCAAAAAGAAATTTGAAAGGGGTATAGATTTTGTTTTTGAATGTTATAATTTTCGCAAATGTACACATTAATCATTCTAAATTCATTGTAGACGTGATCAGGGATGACGTTGCAGAAGGTCATAAAGATCAAATTTATACGGGAGTTCAACAAATTAAGTTGATACAGTTACAACAGTCACCCTACTCCAAGTTGAAAATAATTTACTAATCAGCAATCGCTGATCACGAGTCATCTAGAACAATGGCAACAAATACTACTATCAACGTTGAACACTGGTAGCACCAAACTTGAATAATTGAACCTTACAGGAGTATGACTAAACTATTCAACCACATAGTTTTATATACTTGTGAACTATCTGTAGCAATGTTAGAATGTACTGGCCTAGCACTAGCTTTAGGGATCCGGCAGAAAGTTCTGAGTGGCATCTCCTGAATTAAGTTTGCAAGGCAATTTATTAAATATCAGGTAACCAAACAATAAGTTCCCCCCTTTAGTAGAAACTACAAAATTTGGATATTTAGGAATTTAAGGAAACTAGAGTGCAGATGAAAAATACTAAGCAATGTAAAATATCACATGACCTGACTTGAGGTAATTTGTTTTCAAAGATTTCCATTTTCAAACAAAAAAGAATGAGGGACACATATAACTCAAACACTGACACATTGCAAAAGAACTTAGAAAAACAAAAAGAGACCGGGACAATGCCGATAAGGTGATACATATCTCATGATTTGACTACAAACACATTTGACAACCACCAAAATCTGATGTCCCAACTACCAACAGATGAGACAACAGAAAGTTTGTTGGAGTGAAAAGTACATTAGAAAAAAACAAGGAAGGGAAGCCAATTAGATAAATCCGACTTACCTGAAGGGTCAGAGCACTGGTATGTTTCGTGACCAAGAAGTTCGTCAGGTTGACAAAATATGCGAGTGCCGAATTAAATAGCAAATACCAAATGATCTTGGCGTCATCTCTGGCAAGAGCCAACGTGATGCCAACCACATTCTCTTCCATTATAAGTGTTGCAGGAAGAAGAAAAACCACAGCCATTGGAGCCATGTAAAGCAAAAGGTTCATAGAATTCAGCTTCTCTCTGCCACACAAGAACTCTGTTAATACCCATTTGAACATAGAACTTGAATACCGTAGAAAAGCATATGGATAATTTTGCCACGATTAAACTATTCACTTGGTGTTTAAAATTGTCCTATTCAAATTTTAGTCCCTAGAAAATTTTAAACTTTAGTCCTTACACATTGGTATAGGCTAAGTTTTTGCCCCTTGGTACCAAAACTTACCGTTTTCTGGTATAAGAACTAAAAGTTAAAACGGGGACAACAAGAAGGATAACGCGAGTAGTTTAAAAATTAATGACTAACAAATCAATCTTGAGTTTCTTGATCCTTACCCTTCAGAAGAAAGCAAAATCCCTTGTAGCACTGATTTTAGAGCCCTTGCAGCTGTGGCCGCAACACATATAATAAATCCAAACAGATGGAAACTCGGTTCCCCCTAAGGCCAAACAGAAGAAGACACAACGCAAACAGCAGACACCACAAAATTTTTCAATTTCATATTGAACCAATTTGAAATCACATACAAAACAAGACCAAAATTATAATTAGAATTAGAAGGATGTTGTACTGTGTGACATACCCCACTGGCGATGATGACTCCAGTAACGACAGGAACAAGGGTGAGGTAAGTGAGCCAAGCCTCCCTCTTGAACGTCATGAGGTAAGCAAACACGGCAGTGAAGAAGGGTGTGGTGGCGCCAACAGCCTGGTTAAACGACACGGGGAGGTAGCGCAGAGAAATATTCCCAAACACAACGGATACACAGAAAACGAGACTGAGAGCAGAGATCTTGAAGAATTGAACCCTGGATCGAATGGTTTGCAACGGCACCACCTTCATCCACGCTATGGCGACGTAACTAAGCAAGGAACACGCCGTCATGTGGCACATGGTGAGGAAGATCGGGTACTTGAAGCCATAGTTGCTGAGCAAGTACTTGTTCAAGAGAAGCACGCCAATGTTGGATGAGTACCATGCCGCCACCAGCCCCACAGTGAAGAAACGGTTGGAACTCTTCATTGTTTTGAGACCTTCGATTTGATCCTCGGAGCCCTGCAGTTTCAGAGACAGGTTAATGGGGATCTGGGCATTGAAAAAGGGTTTAGCTTTGAGTGGGGGAGAAGAAGAAGCCGGTGATGACGGGGTTGACTTTACAAGCCATGGATCTGAGAATCCATGGCTTGGGGTCCGAGAAATCTAGGACAGTGGTGGGTCTGAGTCGGATTTAGGAAAGGTAGTGGATTTTGAGGATGAATAGGGAGAAAATGTGTCTGTGTTTGTAGGTGTGGGATGTGCCTGCCAACCTCTGCAACGCAAACAGTCCCAAAGGAGACAGGAAAAAAGGAAAGGAAAAACAGCATTTAAAGCTGCACAACATTGTAATATTGTACTAAGTATTTATTTTATTATATTATATATTATATTATTATTATTCCGGTAAACTGTTAGTCGAAAAGAACAACACCTATCAGTTAGTAGATAGTGATTCGATTTGGGCATATTTGCACTATTTACTCGTTTTCTTGTTGTAATTATGGTAACATCTACGTTGCAAGAAAAGTATAAAGAGAAACAGTTAAACTTTGGAATAAGTTTGATATCAGTTTATAGGAATGCATTTTATGACCTTTTTTTTAACTTAAAAGATATGCAATCTTCACAGGTATTTTTTTTTTTTTTACTTACTTTGTGTGATGGTAGAAAATAAAGACAGATCTCTTGTATTGAAATATCTAAATAGGATTGAGATGA